TACCAAGGTTTTAAATCAAACTAAGCACATTACATTCAATGAAACCCTTAAAAAGACTAGGGAAACCATTTTTAGCATAGACTTAGGGTGGTAAAACTAAAGTGCCAAAACGGCCAATCCAATTTAACTTGCATTCTTAATCAAAATAATGACTGGAATGAACTTGTAACAAAAAGGTGTTACCAACGTTTTAAATCAAACTAAGCTCATTGCATTCAATGAAACCCTTAAAAAGACTAGGGAATCCATTTTTGGCAAAGCCTTCGAGTGGTAAAACTAAAGTGCCAAAACACTTTCCTTCACAAACCAATAACCATACCTGACTCAACCGTAGAAATTTTTTGATCTAATAACACTGTGACATGATGCTAAAACAAAATATAGGACTCAAAAAACTTTTCATTAACTTTTCTTTAAAACCATGAATGAGACTAAGTCACAAGTAACTGGACCAGTATAAATTCAACTAAGTTCCACAAAATTAGCTGGCAGCACACAAATCCAGTCAAAAGGAATCTGTAAAGAATATGAGCTAACTATCAAGGGAGGAAAGCTTTCAAACGTGCAATTTGATTCAATTAAAATCAAAGACAGAATAAAACAGATTCAATCACAGCCGCCTGGAATTCAGAATAAAACAGAGTCAAAGATGAGATTGAGAAAACAATCAAGCATCCCATAATCTAAACAAACAGAAATCTAAGGACATACTCACAACAAGCTCAACAATGTAAATCACTCATGACAAATCAAAGTTAACGAACAAATAGAGCTAGACCGGAACTGAGATACCTGAAGCTGCCGGAATCACTTCCTTCTGTCGATTCTCCCTGAACTTTTTCCCTTTGGTTCTCACAATCTCTTCTCTGATTTTCTCTTCTGAAATTCCTGAGATTTTCCTCTTCTCCACGAGCTCCCTTCTCCTGATCGTGCTCTCAGGTGAGGGAAGAAGCGTGCAGATTGTAGTTCCCCCTTTTTAAAAAAAAAAAAAAAATTATCTGGTTGTCGGCTTTGTATGTATGAAGCTAGGGTTGCGGGGAGAGAGGCACAGCAGAGATGGTTTTTGTCCGCTTACCCTTTAGGCGACCTGGGAATAAAGGTGTTCATTGAGTACGATACGCCTGTTAAGTGTCGACTGCAGATAGACCTGACAAACGGATCCGGTCGCTGCTTTCACCGTGTGTAAGTTTATTATTTATTTTATTATTTTTATATTTAAAAATTACTTTAAATTTTGATAAATTTAAAACCAAATTATATCGAACTCTACATAGCAGTTCGATGTCAGAGCTTCTCATTAAATTTGATGAGTTATTTATCAGATTTGATAATTGAATTTTCAGTTGTTAATATTTGACAATATTAATTTATTAACCATTATTTTTATAAAAAAAATTAGATTAAACCCAATTTTTTTTAACTTTTTTAAAAAAAAAACTTTTTCAGTACCTAACTTTTAATTTACCATACTTAAATTTAAATCTTACTTTAAAAAACAACCTTCCTATGGTAATACCAATGAATCGTTAATCCGTCGAACCAGTTTTTAAGTTTAATGGTTCAACCACAAGTCTTAAGTGTTTAAGTGAGGTAGTCGGAATTTCGAGTTCTATCACCGTCGTGAACTTCATCAAAAAACAGCCTAATGGCTGCGCGCCTCATTTGAGGGGGTGAAATGTTCACCGACCTAAGAATCAGTTGCTAACAACTAATTCCTACTAGTTTTCTAACCATTACCCTTTTCATAAAAAAAAAAAAAAAAGAAAAAGAAGAAGAAGAAGAACGAAAGAATCATTAGTCCGTGTAAGTTTATTTGATTGGGTGATTTCGGAATTCAGCCTCAAGGATAGGATGACGTGTACGACACCAATCTCAAATTTGGATCTAATGGGCTTAACATTTAAAAAAAATTAAATGCTAAATTTAGTTTTTTAATTTTTAATTTAAATAATTATAATTTTTAAGTTATTTTAAGTACTTTTATTAGTTTTCAGATTTAAAAATTACACTTTTTTCATTTTTCCGTAAATTAAGTCAAACGTGACCCATTCAAAAACCTCAGTCAGCATTTTCTTCAATTTGTTAATAACATGGTAATTACATATCATACCATAAGCTTTAGTTTATATGTATACTATTGCACATGACCCTGAGCAATGACAGAGTATCATATTTTTATTCATTTATAACTAGTAATATATGAAGGCATTTGTATTAACATTTTAAATGGAATTGATAGTTGATAATTTATGTTTCATGGTTGATTATTATCAAAGTTTAATAATTTTAAATTTTTACTTTGATTAGAATAGATAGCTAAAAATAATTTTTAAATAGACAATTTAAACATTAATAATAAATATATGTTACCTGATTGATACTATTTGAAGTAAGAATAATTTAATAAATTTACTAGGCATTGTATCGACTTGAAATTGTCTTTTGTGATTAAAAGTTATTTAAGTAAAGTAATTTTAACTTAAATTATAATATTAAATAGACAATTTAAACATTAATAATAAATATATGTTACCTGATTGATACTATTTGAAGTAAGAATAATTTAATAAATTTACTAGGCATTGTATCGACTTGAAATTGTCTTTTGTGATTAAAAGTTATTTAAGTAAAGTAATTTTAATTTAAATTATAATATTATGAGTATGGAAAGAAAAAAAAAAAAAGAAGAAGCAAACCATTCCAAGTGCGCAAAGCTAGAAAAGTAGAAAGTTATTGAGAGAAGAAAAATAGTGTTGTATGTTATGTAGCTCATTTTCTACGTAGGGCATAGTAAATGTAAGTCATGCAATATTCAAGCATAATGCAGAAAGCAAAGTATTGAATATAATAACAGAAGATACTGTAATTAACACCTACAAAACCAATTCTAACTAATCCTTCTTTTCTCAATTAAAAAGCTTGCAATCCTAGATATCACTCCTCCCCAGGCTACTTACTACCAGAAACATTTTACTCAAACTCAACAACTTAATCTAAGCAAAAAAGAGGGAACCGTCCTAATGAGAGAAACCTTACCAAGAAAAGGTTTGGTGTTAGTAGCTGACATTATTGTAGACATATGCATCAAGTGTGAGATAAATGGAGGTTCTAAGGATCTGAGATATTGAAGTAAAAGGTCGCATTCCAAACAGAATTAAGAACCTTTGATGGTGGTTTGAAACTTCTATTCATCAAAGGAGAGCTCCACAAAGGCACTGGGTGAACGTAGCCCATCTTGTGGCAAAAGATTAGGGGCACTTACCACATCCAACCCCACTGGTTGTTGTTCATGCTGATCCTTGTTTACAGAAATGTGAAAACCAGGAGATAAAAAGGATACTTAGAGGTGCCTGCAAGATAAAGATAATAAAAAAATCTATGGTCTAACAGAGACATACAAACAAAGGAAAAAAGGATGAAACAGATTAGGTGACTGCATCGGAACTCAACTTGGCTTATCTAATAGAGGAAAAAAGGTAGTTCTTTTTGCCAATAAGGAATTATATTAGATAAAAATATTAACCTTTTTCATATAAAAACTAAAATAAAACTTTCAGGAACATTTTCCTATCTCCTCCCAATAATTATTAAGTGGTGAAGGCTGATCACTCAATCAAAAATTTCATTGTGAATATCGATTATTAAATAGAGTTTATTTTTACAAATTTAGTTTCCTTGTATGGTTTCCTACCATGTATAGCTTTGGTGTATAGAGAATCATGAATATAGTAAGAATACTATCACTTATCACTTCCTCTACCCTAGCAGCAATAACAGCGGTATCAGAGCCAAAAAAACTACCATGCATGTATTCCCCTAGCAGCAATAATAGTGGTATTAGAGCCAAAAAAAAAACAACTTTGGTGTACGTAGAATACCATGAATATTCTGTGAAAAGGTCATGCCTTAGGTCAAGGATGCTTTCTCAACCCTGGCAGCAATAACAGCAATTTGCTAAGGCTTAAATGCTTTAACAAACATCCACATACATGCTTTGCTTTGCTTACCATTAATCTGAACATGTCACTCATCAACTCGCCTTTTGCAGAAGCTAACTTGATTGTTTAATTCCACACACAAAGCTTAATGAACTAAGGGTCTTGCTAAATAGTGTTATCAAGAATCAAGATAAATTTAATAATCAGAGTTGAATTAGTCTATTAAGTTTAGTTATCAATGATCATTTCTGACTAAGCTAGAAAGGAGTACCATATCTATATAATATGTGCAAAAGAATTATAGTAGTTACCACTTTTTATACTCAAAATAAGAAAACACCATTAATAGACTAAAATGTAAGGAAAATAAAGAATGCTCATTTCACAACTGCTGTTTATATAGGGCTCAATAAAATAACAAAACTGAGGTAGTCAGAGTTCCTGATACTAATCTTGGAGCAGTACTTAACTAACTACCACTTGCAGCCTCTTCCTTGCCAACAAAACAATTGAAACAAACAAAAACTGATATAAATTGAAAATTAAGCCCCACAGATTCTCCTTTGAGAAATGTATCTTTACTCATCCAAATTTTATACCAAATAACCTAAGCTGCAAACTTGAAATAATTCACTTTGAGGAAATAGCAAAGGAGAAGCATGTCAAGTTTTTGTTGAAAATTACATGTCTAAAAGCACTTGTGCCCATCATACCAAAATCA